CGTACATACCAACACGGCCGATTGGTCGGCCAAGGGACAAATACGACAGTTAAACTGTTCGTGTATGAGTGACTATTAGTAATAATAAAATCAATGGGATTATTCAAACAACATATTGGTTATATGAAACATTAAGGGCCAAGGTCATCAAAAATTCCGGGTATTTGGTTATAACCATTAGGTATATTGTAATTACTAGGACTCTGATTTATATGTACTAAAAAAAAGAGCTCATTCTGCAATATTACCCCATTCCTTCTCCAATGTGTATCTCTCATTAATTTTAGACAGTTTAAACCAGGATTTTTGTTTAATTCACTGTGCATTTTTTTCTTTTACTGCAACTCCCAGTGGCGTATTTACGGGGGAGGGATATGGGGGATAGATCCCCCCCTTGACCTTTTTTTTTTTCCTGGGTAGCTATAAGTTGTCTCATTTTCTCTAATATTCTTAATATGATATTACTTTCAAGCATGTATGTTTTCTGTTTTCTAAATGTTCTAGTCGTGGTAATTGTGCCGCTTTGATAGTCTGATATACTAATCGCCACTAATCGTTTATCGTTGGCAGCATGTACGACTATCAGGCATATACCTATATTATGGTGTACTATATTTTGTACGTTTCTGCGAATTATTTTTCATGCAAGAGTGTTTATAATAAACCCGATAAGCAATCGGTAAACAAAACAAAATGACCATGAAGATCGTGGATTAACCATAGGGCGGCCGGGCGGGTTTATTTTTAGAAAATTTGTTACTAGTAGATTTATGGCTAGTGTATAGCTATATATATATATATTTTATCGTATGATATCGTGATTCGTTAAAAGTAGATATGTACGGTCACTAGACGTTGACGGATAGCGACGCCGCGCCATTCCGAGTACTGACTTACTGCCGAATTGACTATTGTTCGACTTTATTTTTTGCGTCTTGTAAGTTGTAACTGCGAAGTTTTAAGACAATATGAGTAATATTCAAAAACAAAAAAAAACTTTATTTTCTTATTTTAGTACAAATAAAAAAATTTGTTTGGAAAATGATGAGGTAATTATAAAGATTAATTCTTATTTTGCCTTGATCCACACTAACCTCAATAAGTAACAAGTTAGGGGATTTTAAAAATGTATATAATGTACGAATTAATGGGTGTTAGGATGTATTATTATATATTTCATCCCCCCCCCTAGAAAAATTCCTAAATACGCCACTGGCAACTCCCAATGGTCCTGGTACTTGTTCTATGCATTTTACAGCTTCTACGAATCCTAAAATTTTAGGCTATGATCACACTATACGTTTTGTTGGCAACCGAAAAACACTACCCCATCAACCGCAATCGGGACGATCAATCATACTGTACGTTTTATCGGTAACTGAATCCATACAAACGAGATTAAAAAGCGCGGGAATCGTTTTTAAATTGAAATTTTAATACTACTTACCTTTTTCTCTTTTTCCTTGTCGTCGAAATTCTCATATTCGGAGTACATACATTCTGCTACTTTGAGCCAACATGACCTTTTAAAATCCCTATCATTATATAAAGGAGAACTCATGTCTCGGAGACATGGAAAGTTTTTAACTTCTAAAATCAATTTTTCCCTATCAAACATAATGTATTGATAATAAAATAAATATATATATAGTATATTACAAATATATTTTAAAAGGCTAAAATTATTAAAATTTAAAAATGATTACTAATTAATTTTCAATTTCGGTCACCGATAATCCGCGCAAGTGTGATCGGGCCAACTGAATTGCATGTGTTGTGCTTAACACCCCAAAACGTAATCGTATGGTTGGACCACAACACGTTGCGGTCGCTTCCCGACGGTTCCGTAGATCGGTCTAGTCTAGTCCTAATAATGCGTTTTATTTTTAAACCTATTATATTTTGAGTGTTGCGGTTTAATTACCGATCGTTACCGGTTCGTCGGCAACCAACAAAATACATAGTGTGATCCTAGCCTTTTAACTTTGAAAGAAAGTCATTTTTCTTATCGAGCATATTGAAATATCGAACATAATATGTTATATTATATCGACCGTAGATTAAAAATTATCTATAGATTAGAAATTGTCTGTATTGAATTATTAATAAATCGTAAATGGACAAGTTATCGAAATATGTAAGAAAAAATGGAATTATTGAGAAGTATGTACAAGTTTGTACTTAGGTCTAAATATGTAAAATAAAATTTAGTTATTTTCATTGGAAATCTCTTGAAACGAATTTATCACTTACCTAAATTAATTTATAAAGTCATAATAAAATTATGTATTTACATAGGTATTAATCTGAGCCCTAGTAATTACAATGTACTTATGTCATGACAATCGAAAACAGTCGAACTTTCGGAAGAAGTGTACGAAGATTGAATCGATTTGGACTCGCACCTCGATGTTGCAAAGGTTCTAATAAAAGAGATCTGTAATGCGGTAATGAATCCTCGAATAATTTAACATATGCTGCCACTGACGATGAGAGAAGCAAGGCATTCCCATGAAGTAAAAAAAATATTAGAAGCTCTAAGTGTTCTCGAAAGAGCAGTCCTGCACCTTTCGTATGAAAAAGGTTTTGGGCAACGTTGTCCTTACAAAACCATCAAGTTACTCGACGCAAAAAAACAAACAACGATAAAGACATATTTTACTTAGCATTTACTTTTTTTTTCAGTCAATAATTTTTTTCGAATAATAAATTTATTCTATATTTTATTTACAGAATGTCCCAAAACGATTTGATGTTGGACGCAGATTCTAAATAAGCATAAAGCACCATTAAAATATAACATACGTTTAAAATAATTTTTAAGTTTCTTAAAACATTTCGGGGGGGGGGTTGTAGCCCACTAGGCACCCCCTATTTACGCAACAGATATATTTATTTATTATGTACCTAATGAACAATTGGTAGTGATGAAAATATTTTAACTATCTACCAATCTAACAATATAATAATTTAGATTCGAGGCCACCGTTTATAATTTAAATAGAACCTCCAATCATAGCACGGCACTGTATGTAAAATATTAGTCGTATTATTGTTTCTTTTTTTTGTCAATCGCAAAGATTATGTAGGTAATTATATAACACATATTCACATTATAAGTGACAGAGGGGTAGCGATTTTCAGGACACATTGTAAAAGGAAATATTCTTGAGGATATTCAATTCTACGGACTAAGACAAAATGAAAAAATAATTTATTAAAGACAAGTTTAAATTTTAGTTCTAGTTTTCGGATAGTAAGAATGTTTTAGAGTAAAAATATTCCAACTAATTTATTATATTCTGGTACTGAGAAAACCAATTCAAGATAAAGAACCAAAATTGAGTCGTAGTTTATACACGTTTTATTCGCTGAGTAAAGTGACACATGAGTTCACTACACGCTCTACTCGGCTAGCAGTTTAGACTCGCCGAGTACTGTTAATTTTGGTAGTGGAAGTAGTCGCTCGGCCGAGTAAACAGAAACGGTTTCTATTCATTGGCTCGCTCATTTTACAGGGCCAAGTACTGGTTCCTTGAGTTCACATGGGACAGTGAAATTAATAACCTGGTATTACTTACCTGGCTTGGATAAGACACCTTTAAAATTAAATTTCCTAGAAAGTAATATAAAATAACAATTACAAATAATGAATTGAAAAAATAGAGTCCGAATTAAATAGGAAAAAATCACAAGTAAAAAGGAATTTTTCATTAGTAGTTTCACTACCAGTTTAATATTTACTAATGAAGTAACCAATGGACTAACTAATAAAATTATAATAAGTTGAGGACTGAAGTGAAAATTATGTTGAACATCAAATTAATCCCCTGATGTCATTGGATTTAGTATTACCATTGATTATTAATACTATTTATAATCAATGGTATTACTAATTATAATATGTAATACGTTGAATATACTAAAGAAATTAAATTAAAAATGATGAGTTAATTTATACAGAATTGATTAAAAATAAAAAAGTTAAAAAAATATTAGTTCGTATAATATATAATTTATTTTTTTGCTGACAAATATTAACATAAATTAAAAAATTTGATTTTTATAAAATCAAAAATAAAGCTAAAAATTAAAACAACTATTGAAAACTTATAGTATTCGTATACATAAAATTTTATTATTCCTATTATTTTCTAATGAATAATTTGTTATCAAATTATGAACTATAGATAAGAGTACATAAATATTACTTAAAGTTAGTGTTTTCAAATTATAGAATCATTTAAAATGAATAGCAGAAAAATAAAAGGCAACCACATGGAAAATATTAACAAACCGTGTTGTAAATAATAATAAAAATCTACAATGAGTTATTTAACATGTCACACAATATACAATATGGAAAACACTGCTCTTATTTAAAAAAAAAAAAATATTTATAATACACTGTTATAGACATAAACAAATATTTTAAAAACAAAGTGTGGCAACTGAAATTATTAAATGTTAAACAGAATACATATAATAAAATATAAAGTATACATAGTTTGGTGTTATAGTATACAAAAATAGTTTTAATAATAAAATAGTATTGTTACTTTTTTAATAACTTAACATTATAATCTTAATGCATCAAAATTATAAAATCTCACTTTTAATTAAGATATTATTATTAATAATATTTATTAAAATTCTTGAAGTTTGTTGTCGACATTTTAAAAAAATAATTTTAAACAATAAATAATAAACTACAATGTGCTATAATAATAATATCATAATCTAAGTCAAAATAATTTTTACAATAAAACTTCAAATATTTGTTTATCAAAATTACTTATCAAAAAGGTTTTAGTTCTAAAAACAGTGTAGAATATTTTATTCCCTAAATTTAAAAGATTACTTTTTTGAAAAATGTACATGTTTTCAACAATTTGTAAGTAAAATGTATAACATATAATTTTAATTCTATTACAGTATTATTTTATATGCTTATATCTTAAATTAATATATTATAAATTAAATATATTTAATGAATATGAATAATTGAGCAACTAGTTTATATAGTCCCACAGAAAATGTTAACAAGTAAGAATTTAGACATTTATTAATATGTTTAATTTATAATATATAAATACCTGATTTTTCAATTTTTAAGACATCTTTACAGGCACAAATTTTCAAAAGCAAAATATGGCTTACCATTTTCTACATAATATGATTTTGATATTAATAATAAATTTAGACTGGGACAGTAAAAAATGCTTACATGTAAATAATAGGAAGATAAATGTTTATGTTTTTTTACGCATTACAATTTTTACCTCTATGTCTGCTGGATATATATACAATTATATATACTTTGTAATAGCTAACAATATTTCAACTATTTATTAAAATATAATATGCATCAAAATAAGTCTTTAGTTATTTAAAAAAACCAAATAAGTTTAAAAATATTTACTAGGAGAATATTCACCAAGAAACATTTTTGACAATAAATGGAAGTGTCATTCCAAAGAGTATTCCGCAACAAATACCAGTGATTAACATAGCAGCTCCAAACATACCTGCAATTCCACTGTATTTTGGTTCAACACAACTAAAAACAATAATTTTTAAATAATACATAGTAATACAATATGTATACATATCATGAAATTAATCCATTAAATAAAATATTACACTAGTTAATTTTGATAAAGTAAAAGACAACAAAAGAAATTAATTTTTATTCAACATTTATGTAACCACTATACCTATTTATAACTTTTATATTCAAATATCTTTTAACTCAATTTTTATAATCCTAAGGTATATCAACTATGTATTAATCATTACAAAAAGGAAATGTAATCATTAATTAACTTACTATCAATTTAAAAAATTAAAGATTGAATGAAGTTAAAAAACATAATATGTTAATTTATATTACTCAAAATAGCAAAACATCTGTTTAGCAATTCAACATTTTAACAGGTCATAAATTACTGTATTTAAATATTTAAGATTGTGTAACTACACATTTAAATTATGAACTATCTGGTCCTAAATCTAAAAAACATATTTAAAAACATAATAAAAAGTAACAAAAAGAAAACAATTATTTGTTTTAAATAAAATTAAACCATTAAAGCTATTAGATTTTACCTTGGTGTATACATCATGGCTACAGAACTGTAATAACCACTAGATAATCCAAGAATTGCTCCCAACATCCAGAATATATAATCATTTTTTATTAATACTGGCATTATTCTAGTAACCCCAAGTGGCTGATAATTACAAACTAAAAATAATGGAATAAGAACCACTCTCAAAGTAACAGGAATATATAACCATTTTGCATTTGGCTGAAAAAAAATAATATTATTAATGCTAGAATGAGATGAAAAAATATATTTAAAAAATTAAATAGTTTTACCCATGAAAAATAAGTAGAAAGAAATGTTCCAATAAGTGCAGTGAAATTAAATGTCAAAAAGCATAGTACATTGATATAATATGATGGTCCTACTATGAAATTTGAATCTGACACTTTAATATCTGCAACATAGTTGTAGAATGAGTTATTGAATTACAATTTATGAGGAATTAAGTATATCTAAGAATTATTATCACAATTACATACCGGAATGCACAGCTGGAAATACTGAAAGAGTGACAAAAAATATAAAAAATACATTAAATAATTGTGGAGAAGCCTGCTTAAAAATTTGCAAATATGGAATTTTTTCATTTCCATCATTTTTTTTTATTTCTTGGCTTTCAATTTTACGTTGGTATACGTGTTCATGATACTTATAAAATCTCTATAAATACATATATGATATTAGAACTATTTAATTTTAAAACCAACCTAACCTAACCCAACTAAATTAAATAAAAACATTTTAAATAACTTACATTTAATGGTAATGCAAAATATGTATCAAAACAGGCTAATAATATAAATAATGCAGTAGTAAAATAATATATAGCAGCTGTTCGAGCATCAGGAGTGATTGAAATTGAAGCAATATTGGCAATAGATGTAAATGTACCGCTTAAATTTGTACCAAGGACTACAGCACCAATATACTTTGAAGGAAGTTTGGCGGCCATTCCAAAAACAGAGTTATTGTAAATACCATTTGCCATATTTAATAATACAATACAGCCAATAGTAGACCAGAAAAATAAAGCTGGTGACTGAGCGGTATTAATCATTACTAAAACAACAGTGAAGACAAAACAAACAACCTCAATCAAAATTGACCATACAATACGAGTAGTTAATTTTCCCCTGAAAATTAAATTACATAAATAAAATAATTCAATATTAAAATGTATAATAAATAATATTATATACTAAGATAAGTAAGCACACATATGCTTTTAATCTTACCCCATTGGACAGAATATGTTTAGCCAGTTGAAGATAAAATTAGGTAACTGTGAACCAATAGTTGAATAAGACATAAAAGCTGATGCATAATAAAGAGTTTCCATTAGATAATCCTTTCCTAGTTTGTAATCCACAAAGTACTAAAAATCAATAGTAAAAAACAAATGAGTAGGAAATAAACATTACTTTAAAATAAGGTACAGTATATCATTAAACTTATATTAACAGTTTAATTATACAATAATATTGGTTTTAAACATATGTAACTTATTATGTAAATAAACATTTAAAAAAAAAATAATAATAATATTAATACAAGAACAGTTATTCATTTGTATAAATCTATGAAATAATGTAAAATAATATTTTTTTTGTTCTTAGATTCTATATAATTAAATAATAATTTAACTAAATAACAAATAATATTATTTATGTATCAGATTATTAAATTAAACTTTTATTTCTAATGAAAAATAATAGCTAAACTTTGCAATTTTGACTTACTGATTTAGCATTAATGAACATATTCCAAGGCATTAAAATTCCTATTCCATGAAGAACTAATATTAAATACACAATATTCCATCTAAATAAAAATAAAAATAATAATACAATAATTATAATTTAACTCTTTATTATCAATTAAAAATCAAACAAAATATTAATTTAAAGTAATTTCAATAATTAAAACGGTTTAATTTCAAATTTGCTAAGAATAATTAATCAAACACTATTATTAATAAAACATGTTTTTTAATATATAGAAAATTTAAACATTATAAATACAATTTAAAATATGTTTTTTTACAAAACATTCAAGAAAATGTATAATTAAATTTGTGCAAGAAAGGATATACTTAACAGGACATGTAAAAAATACCAAGAGAATTATCAAATAAGTAATAGGTTCATATAAATTTCAACTTGCCTGTCTTTTGGAGGGTCAGTCTCTAACACAGCATCATCCATGTTAAATGTCTTAAAATTAAGTTCGTCGTTAGGTAAATTATTTTCTTCCCAAGCAGGAGTCAAACGTACTGGAACTTGCTCTGAAGCAACACTTGTGAATGAATTATGTTTAGTTGGTTGCACTAAAAAATATGTATACATAAAAAAAATAGGATATTAATCAATATAAAATAAAGAGAATTATTCCTAGTCAAATTATAAAAATAATAATATAAGGAATATTTATGATAAAAACATAAAATGTATTAGTTAAAATATACAAATGTACCTTTTTTTTATAACTATTCAAAATGTACATACATTATAATACACAGAATACTAATTAAAAAATGTATTAATAGCAAATGGTAGCCAAAATACCTCAATAATTTAACAGTCCTATAAAATGATAAATACCATAAAGCTTAGGGTGCATTTAATGATAGAATCATTTAAACAAAATTATTTTTTTTACTACAATCTATAACTCTTAGTGAACTTTGACACTTTAAAGTGATATATTATGTAACTATATTATGTAAGTAATTTAATATATTGCTAATGAAATTAAAATCAAACACAAAAAAGTTAGAAAACAACAAATAATCATTCTAAAAACAATAAGATTTCTCACTTAATTCAAATTCAAAGATTATAAAAAATCAATTTGCATTATAATTATTACCTTAATAGCTCAAAATAAAAATAAATAAAAATTATTAGAAATCGTAATTATTTGTAATATTTGAATGTAAATTATTAATTTTAATTAAAAATAATTAATGTTAATTAATAATAATATCAAACCGTTAAATTTATTTATAAATAAAAAATCAGATAATTTTTGTAATTGAAACAATATTGAATACAAACAAATTAAGAAAACACTGTGTTTTCCAATATTAATAAAATGTAAGGAAATTTAAAAATAATATGCTTTGCCAAATTATTATATTTAAATAAGTTTTAAAATAATAAACTTACAAATAATTAAAACTAAACAATATAAAGTGTTTATACTTACGAGTTACGGAACAACATGCACCGAAAAAAAATGAGAGTAAAACATACAGCCTACGAGTGTTTAACTCGAAGATACTATCAAACAAAAACTAAGCATATACATATATAAGTATATATAAGCGTTATATGTCGGAGGTCACATGAGTACTATTTATTGAGGAGGGATATTGTGTGGAATGTGGAATTAAATTAAGGGTCAATCTGGTTCTCTACTATATAGTTTCAAGTCTATAAACTACACCGACATTTTATAGTATTGAATTCTCTGAATCTTCATATTCTATATATGTGTATATAATTAGATACCTACAGTTACAGTATTTTATTACGATTTATGATCACGTAATTTTCATTTCTAAATTTTTGATTACATATGTATCATTAATTGTTTAAGTATAAAATTATTAATTGAAAAAAGGTAATACATTTTAGTCACAAATGCAAACAATGACCGTAAAAAAAAGATGCATCTTTAAAAGCCAAAAATATAATAATTCATGATGAAAAAAAATAAAGGAAATTGCAATAAAAAAATAATAGTAAATTCTTTGGGGCACATATCGACTCTGCCGAAAATATATCTATATAACTATATACATATTACATTATAACTATATATACCATGTCTAGCATGACGGTATAGTGGCACGAAGAAAAAAAACATACATTTTATAGAATATATAAATAATAATAATAATATATATAATAATCATTGATTATTAACATGTTTTAATAAACATTTAAATGCAGTAGCGTATGCATTTGTGCTTTTGTCTGACAATAAGAAATAACATTATGTCCATTTTTAAAAATATGAACCGTAAAAAGTTAATAGAAATATTTTGGGCAAATACAAAATGTACCATCTACAAATATTTTGTTACTAGAGCATAGACATTTTAAATTAGAATTTGAAGAGTAGAATAAAATATTATTTACTGTGTCAGTATTAAATAGAAAATCTGCTGGAAACAATATTATGTATTTACAAAATCCGAAAATGTTCTAATATTATAATATATTGGCGTAGGCCGATTCTAGAACCGATACTTGGTATCGGCCGATATTGGTAGTATCGGAAATATCGTTATCGGTTTACTTTCAAAACCGATATTTGAACTGATACCCCAAAAACTACTAGTGATTATATCGGGTATCGGTTTTATCGGTTTGTGGTATCTGATTAATTTTAATATCGGTTCATGGTTTTGCCAAAAAAGTTGATTTTTTTTATGTAATATATTAAAGATCAACTTAGTTTTTACTTGTGATTATAACATCGGGTATCGGTTGTATATATCGGTATATCGGGTATCGGTAAAAAATGATATCGACCCATCCTTAATAATATATACAGTATATATATAAAATTAATGTTTTGGACTCCATACATTACATTAATGCCTCTTGGGATGAAATTAAACCAGATGTAATAATAAACTGTTTTCGGAAAGCTGCATTTGGTGTGTTGAACAACTCTGAACAGGCTGATAGCTCACCTTTAAAAGAAGAGGGCTTTTAACTCTGCAAAATTTTGCTGTATATGCAACAATAGATGATGAACTCGTAACCAGTAGCACTCGGACTTAGGATGAAATAATCGCTGATATGAACTTAGAGGAGAATGAGAAAGAAGACGACGATCAAGAAGAAGAAGATTAAGACTTTCCAATATCTACTTCTACAATTGCTGCTAGTTTGCAACACCTATCGGAAATTCAGAAAGTATTATCCTCTGTTGAAAATTCCGAAGAAATGTTAGGTTGTCTAAATAAAATTGAAAACTTTCTTTCTGAAACGCATTGTCAGAACCTTAAACAATCAAAAATAGATGAATATTGTAATTATAATTAATTTATAAGTGTATTTCCCATTAAATTATGTTTAATAATAAAAAAATAAACTCGATATTTCAATCACATGATTTTTTTTTCATTCCCGCATAAGACGCTTTCCCGCTTAAGAAGTTCTAGGGAGCTGGTCCCTTAAAGAGCGTTTTAAGTGAGTTTTACTGTATGTTATATTCTTATAACAATAATATTGTACATATTTATAAATCTTCGGCGGAATTGATGAACTTCAAATTCTTTGTAGAGGGTTGTATTAAAAACGATTACGTACTAATACATATATTTATATAATTCAGTTCAGGAATTTAACGTAGTTATTGAAATATGAAGTTTACAATAATATATCTATAAATATCTAAGACGAATAAAAAAATTATAAAATACTAATAAAATTGAATAATAATAATAATATAATAATTTCTAAACATGGGTATTAATTAGGTTTACGTTATATTTTTAAACATTAATTCTTTAAAATTCTATTTTTTGAATTTATTAATACTCATGATTATAACTGTGTCCAAATTTTTTGATAGAATTCATAAACTGGTAAAAAAATGATAGCTACCTTTTAAATATTGAATAATAATTGTTGAGTAAATTTTCGAAATCAATTAATATTGAAGGAATACCACTGATAACTAATAGACGATCCCAATTTATTATATGAATAATTGAAGGATATAGATTTAGAATTCTAATATATTCTGTCATATACTGTTTATGCAAATCTGCAGTATGAATGGAAATTAGTAGACAAATAAAATTTAAATTTGAAATTGTGACATCATGGTAGAAAAGATTTCTGAAGCATGGCAAGTATTTATTTAGTAATTTTATACTTAATCTTAGTAGTTGGGTTAGCTGTAGACCTTTAATTCAATCAGTATTTCTATCTATGAATATTAGCTACATTTTAAGTTTTAAAAATCGTTACATAAAATTTGTTTCAAATTTTAAAGTTTAATCTAATAAGTTTAGGGGTTTAAAGGGATTGTAAGCTATGATTTTTTTCTCTTTCTATCATACGCGCAATATATGTAGGGATTTAGACGTTTTCTATTTCCAACGTACCGATCGATCGATTTAGGCAATAAGGATTTTGAAAACTGATTTGAAGTCTATTTTATATCGACTTTCTCAATTTTTTTAAATATTGTACTAATCATACTCAAAAATTAATTTTTATGTTTTCAATTTTTTTAATCATATTTTGTGAAATTTCGGGAGACAAAATCAAAAAAGTGGGAAAATCGATATAAAGAAGACTATACGAAGAATTCAAATCAGTTTTCAAAATCCTTATCGCATCAATAGATCAATCGGTACGTTGGAAATAGAACATGTCTAAATCCTTATATTGTGCGTGTAATAAAAAAAATGAAAATCATGGCTTGCAATTCCCTTAAGACCAATAAACTCCTAGAGTATTAGAACTTTACTCAAATCCAATTCATAATTAGATTTTGTAATAATGCAAATTTTTAAATACTTTAATTAACTTAAATTCTAAACAAAGGAGGAATGGATGATTTTTTTTTTTTTTTTGTTATAAATAATAATACAACATAGATGCAACATAGAGAACATTATCCTTGCTAGAAAAATGAATTAATTTTAGATACTTTTATACAATCGAATTATTGATTATAAAATGTTTTTATGAGTTGAGAAAACATGAAATCGACATTTCAAGAAATTCGAATCACTGATAAGACGTGATTGATTATATATATATATATATATGTATGTATTCGTTTACTTATTATTGTAATAATATAATTAGAATATGTAACAACAAAATATCTAATTTTTTTTAAACGTTTGACAATTAGCTTATCGGTGGCGTTTCTGATTTTTGTATTTATATAGTGGTATTAACTAAATAGTTTTTCAATTTCAATAATTTATTCTCATTTTAAAATTCATCTAAGCCAAAAATGTTGACAATTTTGATTCATAAATTCACAACTTTTTTAAAACTTTTTAATTTTTAAAGTATTTTAAATTTATAAAAAAGTTACAGTAAAAATGTAAAGAATAAATATCCTACTACATTATAATAATGTTATAATATAACATAATTACTAGGGCTGGGATTTTAATGTTCTAAAAAATAGCAAAAAACGTTCTAAAAACAGCAACATATACCCTAAAAATAAATATAAAGTTAAATTTGTCATAAAACGCAAAATAAATACTACATTTAATTAATTAGTATCACTTGAAACCCATTTTTTTTGGGTAGAACACTTTTGAGAACGGTACCT